CGCTCCCCACTTTTCCAAGAGAATGGATCCTTTATTATCCCTGGTTTCCTCCTATTTATTTTCTCCATCCAGGGCTGGCGACAGTGCTGGAAGTATGAACGGGCCTCGCGTGATGCGTGTTGGCAGTGCTGGCGTCATTATCCTCATCTCCGTTGAACAAGGCAGTATGAACGGGCGCGTGATGCGTGTTTGTATCCTCATCTCCGTTGAACACGGCAGTATGAACGGGCACATGATGCGTGTAATTTGGTACGCAGACACAGCTCCCTCACCTCATCGGGGCTGTACTTTCGCTACAGATCCTCAGGGGTGACCTTCTGCAAATTGTTGCCCAGACTATAGATATATTGTGATGGAGCAGACGCTCCCCCCGGCCACCGCCCTACCTCATCCGGCGGCGCGGCTGGAGTTGCGGGCCGGGGTGGGGGCGTTTATCCCATCTCCGTTGAACAGGGTTGACGGCGGCGTGTTTGTATCCCATCTCCGTTGACCGGTCACCTCGCAAATGTTCCAGACTATAGATATATTTTGATGGAGCAGACGCTCCCCACATTTTTTTCCCAAGAGAATGGAGACTTTATTATCCCTGGTTTCCTCCTATTTAACTCCGGATGTGCCCTGAAATGCTCCCACACTGGATGAGAACGACGGCTAAAAGCTACGTTGTCCTCATCTTCCTGGTCCTCAGCGGAAGTGTACCTCGCGGGAGACTTGTTGGCAGCTCAGCACTGCTGCACTACTGCGACATTCTCATCCCATCCAGGGCTGGCGACAGTGCTGGAAGTATGAACGGGCCTCGCGTGTAGCGTGTTGGCAGTGCTGGCGTCATTATCCTCATCTCCGTTGAACAAGGCAGTATGAACGGGCGCGTGATGCGTGTTTGTATCCTCATCTCCGTTGAACACGGCAGTATGAACGGGCACGTGATGCGTGTAATTTGGTACGCAGACACAGCTCCCTCACCTCATCGGGGCTGTACTTTCGCTACAGATCCTCAGGGGTGACCTTCTGCAAATTGTTGCCCAGACTATAGATATATTGTGATGGAGCAGACGCTCCCCCACATTTTTTTCCCAAGAGAATGGATCCTTTATTATCCCTGGTTTCCTCCTATTTATTTCCTCCATCCAGGGCTGGCGACAGTGCTGGAAGTATGAACGGGCCTCGCGTGATGCGTGTTGGCAGTGCTGGCGTCATTATCCTCATCTCCGTTGAACAAGGCAGTATGAACGGGCGCGTGATGCGTGTTTGTATCCTCATCTCCGTTGAACACGGCAGTATGAACGGGCGCGTGATGCGTGTAATTTGGTACGCAGACACAGCTCCTTCACCTCATCGGGGCTGTACTTTTGCTACAGATCCTCAGGGGTCACCTTCTGCAAATTGTTGCCCAGACTATAGATATATTGTGATGGAGCAGGCGCTCCCCCATTTTTTTCCCAAGAGAATGGATCCTTTATTATCCCTGGTTTCCTCCTATTTATTTCCTCCATCCAGGGCTGGCGACAGTGCTGGAAGTATGAACGGGCCTCGCGTGATGCGTGTTGGCAGTGCTGGCGTCATTATCCTCATCTCCGTTGAACAAGGCAGTATGAACGGGCGCGTGATGCGTGTTTGTATCCTCATCTCCGTTGAACACGGCAGTATGAACGGGCACGTGATGCGTGTAATTTGGTACGCAGACACAGCTCCCTCACCTCATCGAGGCTGTACTTTCGCTACAGATCCTCAGGGGTGACCTTCTGCAAATTGTTGCCCAGACTATACATATATTGTGATGGAGCAGACGCTCCCCCACATTTTTTTCCCAAGAGAATGGATCCTTTATTATCCCTGGTTTCCTCTGGGAACAAAAGAGTCAGTTGACTTTTCAACTTCTTGGCGCAGTCGAGTGAGAAGCGGAGTTTGTTTTCTTTGAAATATAGAACGACTTGTTCCTTCACGGTTCGGGCTTGTTTTGCATGTAAGCAATTCTGTTTCTGGGCATTTTTAAGGAAAGCCAGTTTATTCCTCGTGAAAAAAATGTGTGCCAGATTTGTAGCTACAACATTTTCCTTTGGATCGTAATGTGACGTTTCATCCGATTCAATGTCTTTTTCCACGGTCTGAATCGGTGGTGTGCTCATGAACACGTTCTCATGCGCTCGTCGGATGTGGCGAGCCAAGTTCCCCGACTTGTTCTTTACTGAATGCAAACTACCGCACAGCTTGCACTTAGCTTGTGTCTCAGAAATAAAGATAAAACGAGAAGGAACGTGTGAGTCGCTTCTGGGGACGCGACTCTACTTATACCCGTACTCAGTCAGTATATACATTTTTGAGCTTATAATTTTTTAGAATTTTAGTAAAAAAAAAAAAAATTTAACTGTTTACATATTTTTTCTACATCTGATATCTACATCTACATATACAATGTATATTCAACATCTAACATGTAGATTGTACATGTTCCAATTAGATTCTACATCTCCTCCGCTAGGGGTTGCTCGCGCACTGAACGCGGCACAGTGTGCGAGCGAGAAGGAAAATGAGTTGTGTTGTTGTTTGCGGGAGGGGGCAGTGGAAGCAACTGAAAATTAATTTCGTCATTTTGGCTATAATTATGATCTGATCTGATTCAGATTCAGCAGTCTGGTAGATATGGACATTCTCTACGATACTGCGTTTTTAGTTTTATCGTATCTATATATCACATGAGTCTGGAAACCAAATTTGGTTGCCCTAGCTTTTATAATCTCTGAGATCTAGGCGCTCAACAAGACAGACAGACGATATGGCTATATCGACTCGGCTATTGATGCTGATCAAGAATATATATATACTTTATGGGGTCGGAAACGTTTCCTTCTCTGCGTTACACACATCCACTTTTACCACAAATCTAGTAAAAAAAACTGAAATTTGGAAAAAAGATTATCCTCGTTGAATATAATTTGGTTAGACTTATATTCACCAGAAAAATGGCAATAATCGAGCGTACGGTTTTAAAGATATAAGCCAAAGTATGACCTAAAAGTGCGTTACATAAAACAGAAGTGGTTTTCGAGGTTGGGGTACAAAATGGCAAAACTCTGCGAATTGGATAGGGCTATCTGTATAACATTTTTTGTGCTAATAAATGAAGTATTGAGAGTTAATTTTCCAATTTTATTAAATGTAAAAACTTTTTCTGTTTTTTTGTTAAAAATCCGCGGAGGCATCTGTCGAACGTTACTGGCGTTATGTTACCAAATTCCGCGATTATAAAAGCCTAAAAATATACTGTTAGCCAAGGTTCGACCAACGTTCTGATAATGGTTTTAGGTAGTTTAATATATTAGAAAGACTTTAAGGATAAACTTTTATCAAGAACCATCTTCTTCCTAGGAGATAAACGTAAAAGAAAACATGTCTATAAAAATACCAGAAAATACCAAAAACGTGAACTTTTGCTTATTTTCATGGGTTTTAGGATGAAAGTTAATGAAATTATATGTGAATAAAGTAAATTAGTTACCTTTCAATAAATTTAGAAACAAATATCCGGAAAAAATTATATAGAAATCGGTTTTTATTGACTTTTTATGATTTTTGGCCTGGTGGACCTTTTGGCGGAACTGCCCATATATAACCCCCCTTCATCGACTATAATGGCCTCTTAATTATTTTAAAATCAGATAAATTTTCTTTTTCTACTGGTACCGATATGGTTCCTAGTGCTGTTCTTAAACTTTTTGCAGATTCTCTCTGTGTGCCCCTCCTTAAACTGTTTGTCTGGGAAAGAGTCATATATTCCCATTCATTAAAAGGGGTCTAAATCGGATGTTTCTAATTACCGTGGGATCTCCAACTTATCTGCCACTCCCAAACTCTTCGAAAAAATAATTACTTTCCAGATCTAACACTTTTGTTGTTCCTTATTCTCTGAATCGCAGCATGGATTTGTGAAATGTCGGTCTATTTCTGCTAACCCCCTGGAATTCTCCACCTTCGTGCATGCGGGTAAAAATCTTCCACACTCACGCGAAACCGTTACTCTGCCACTACTAATACTTTTGATTTGCGCGCCTGTCGCTACGCTACGTTTGTTGTGCTGTTGTTGTTTTTTAGTGGACCGTTTAAATTAAACAGCTTCTCCTGTTTTTATTCATAGGCGCTTGGTGGAAGCAGTATTTAAAAAAAACTTCGTTATCCGCTTTTTATATGCCTTTTTTGAGATATTTCTGCTAAAATTGAGATGTCAATCGATCGATCTCCTGATCAGTGTGACCGCGGACTTATCGACGAAATATACCGTCAGACCCTCAGAAATATACCGTAACGTTGTCAAAATATACCGTAAATATACCGATGTAAAATAAGGACTTAGCACACTTAGCCATCATGTACTAATTAATGCAATGCAAAAGATTTTCAGAAATGGTTCGTAAAAATTATATCGCGTATTATGATTGCCCTTGAATTATATCAATAGCTAAATTAGAATAAGCACGAAATCGCAAAAAATAAATAAACACAAAATGAATAAAAAATCATAAAACTAGCTCAATATTCTAATTTTACGTGACTATTTTTTGTTTCGAGTCGCGAATCTTCGAAGTCAATATCGATAGGTTCACCGAACTTAAAGCAGTTTGATATCTTTTGCCAGCAAACACGAAGCAAACATTGCAATTAGAGAACAAAAAACTTTAAACAAGACCAAGCAGCGGTCTGAGCAGTGTAACCGTTCGGAATGCAGTGCACACCTCTGGTCACACCACTGGTCGCTCGAAAAATATATGACATCTGTTTGCTAGCAAACAGTTTTTCGATCTGAGTACTAGGCTTAAAATGAAGTTGTCCTGGTGAACGCGCCCAATGAATTTTTCTTTTAAGATGTTTTTTATTACCGCGATTTAACTCAAGTGATGGAGGGGGCTAAGTGGGTTAAGTTCGTTTTCCGGTATTTTTGAAATTTTAGAGGTATATTTCGGTATATTTCTAAGGGGGCAGGCAGTATATTTTTGTGTTTTGTTTTTGAAGCGTGTTGCGAAGCAACTAGTTTTTTTGATTTTATAAAGGTACATAAATGCAAGGATGCATAAAAATGTCCACACGTGAACATATAAGCTGCAGCAACAGACCTGCAGTTACGGCTGGTGCTTAAGTGTTTATTAAACGTGTGAATTTTACATTTAAAGTGTGATGCTTTCAAGTCCAGCTTGGGACGTACACTGGGGCGACACACCCAAAATAACAAATTAAGCAAACACGCCCTGCAGACCATCGCAATGTTCAAAATGTGTTGTTAAATTCTCATTATAAACGTTCTCCTGCAGGTATTTCATAGACTGGTAACCAATTTCCTCTTCTGCTGCGCGTGACGTCACTTGCAAGGCTTCAAGATGAATTACGGCAGGAAAACGCCCTCCACATATCGCTCCAATCCCTCGGTGTACTCCCATGCCACGGGAAGGTATGTACTAAACAGAGATTGCTCTAATGATGGATTTGAATAACTTTCATTTTGCATATTCCTGTAGATCCTCGACAAATCTGCATTCCAAGATGTCGCGTTCGACGCGGTCTGTGCGGATTCCTTGGTACCAGCGACCGCTGCTCAAGAACAATCAGTATATTGATATACAAAAGGGTGCCATGCTCATTGGCCTGTTTGCCATTGTAAGACCATGATCCCGATCCTATTTCTGCGTATTAATTTATATTCCTTTTAGTTCCTTTCATTGTTTACCATTGCCTCGAGTGTCTTTGATATCTACTGCTATGCCATGGCCGCGCCAGGGTCCACACATTATGGCTACTATATCATATCGTATGAGTTTGTCTATGTGGGAAATAAGCATGGTATGGAATCACTGGGAACCCCATTTTAAATATAAATAAATTTAAATTACTTTTAGTGCGCAACATGTTGATTGTGTTTGCCCTGTTCTCCCTGATCATGGCTCTAATTAACTTTGTGACCAGCGTACTGCTGTGCGTGGCCCTCCGCAAGGTAAGTTGTGGGTTAGATGGTGGTACTATAAAACATTTGCATGGATTTCATTTACATTTCTCATTGCCCGAAAGCAAGAAAAACTGGCAGCAGAGAAACGTTTACTGAGCAAACGGGTAACAAATGCATCCAGCACAATCATGAATCAAGAAAATTTGCACTTGTCCCCCAACCCCCAACAATTGGCTACATTTCCTGCTTTGTTTATATAGTAATCGCCATCTGATTTCTCTCACTTCTCAGGAATACGAGCGGAAGGTGATGCCCTGGCTGTGGACCTTTGCCGTTTTCACGGTCTGGCGTGCCCTGGCGCTGATCTTCTTTGCCATTGTCAATGACTTGTACTTTGCCTACAATGTGATAATGGTGATGCTGTGGAGCATCTTCTGTCTTTTCTCGATCTATGGCTGGGCCGTGGTCTATTCGCTGTTCCTGGAGCTAGTGGATCTCACCAAATTGGAGGATTTGGCTCATTTACGCGCAAGTTTCTTGGCTAATTACACATTTAGCATTAATCTAATAATTATTTCATGTTTCAGATGGGTACAATGGCCTCGCTGCATGCCTCTACAGCTAATTCGCTCGCTGGTTCACGACCTACAACTCCTCATAGCACCGTATCCACAATGCCCGTTGGCTAGGAATAGTATTATCTATATGAGATAGATTACAACGAAATTGCACAAACCAGACCGTCCACAAGCTGCACCCCCGATGCGCTTTCTTTCCACCAACATTTAAATATTTAAACAAATGTGCATTCCATCCACCAGTATAGTGCCTTATAGATGCGTCTATCGAATACCACAAATTTTATACACGAATCTGCATAAATAGTTCTAGTTTTATTCCGTCCAACAGTGCATCTGTGTGTTCTCCAATGTTTTTTATATTGTTAAAGAATCTCTCTGCCTTTATGTACGACAAACATATCGTGTTTTTATATATACTATGTACAATCCGAATATTAGCTATATTTGTATCGAAAGTACTAAGCGACAAGCAATTACACAAAACAAAATACAAACAAATTAGTTTTGTTAATGATGTTCTCGTACAATGGATCATTTTCAGGGCGTTGACCATACGCCCACCCTTAAAAAGTAATACATCTTATTCTATGATGATTCAGAAGGCACAGTGAAGCCAACAGGGAATTTAGGGTTGCCCAATGACACCGTAGTCGATGTACTTTCAAGAAACCATTTTGCATCCAAATTAAGATGATCTTCCGGAGTTAATGATCACAGTTCACTTAGGGGACGAGTATCAGGGCGTTTACCATTGAAAAGTTATTCATCTTAATTCATGATGATTAATTACAACAACGCAATGCACAGTGCTAGTCAAAAGTGAACCGCTGTAATTCAATAATTTATAAGGAATTTTCAATCTAAGACGATTCTGTGGTTAACTTGTATACATTTTTATTTTTAACAACGCATAGTGGTGGAGGGGTTATCCTGAAGGAGACCAGACCCCAGTCAACCGCTTTTGTGTATGTATTTTACTTACAAAGAACAATCTTTGAAATACATTTGCTGCCGGACTTTCCATGAGTGTGCAATGCGCGAAGCGAAGGCATTTACTGGTCATTAACACCCGAAAATATATTATGAACCCCACACACGGGCAAAGTGGGGCAGTTCAAGAGCAGAGGCGACACAGGCACGGACACAGACACGAGCAAACGCGATGGGACTTGTAGATGTGTGGATGCGTGTGTGGTGTGTGGAGGCCAAACAAAGTTCAATCAACTGTTTTTGTTAATCATGACGACGACGACGACCGACTCTTTCGATAGAGGGGTGGTGTTGGTGCAACGGTTAACCGGAGTTTCCTCCCTCCGTAACCCCACACGACTGCAATACTTTCACGGCCTCCTGCTAATGATGGCGCATTCAGGTCTCACTCTATCATCAGCGGCAGGGTGAGGGCATCGCATCCCACTGGGTTAATTTAAACAATTGCAATTTGATTTCAGCTGGAAAACAAACTACGTCATAATCTAGTAACTCTGGAGGGGAGACTCTTTGTTCCTGTCTCTGTCTCGGTTGTAGAACGCAATTTGTTGCATGCGCCATTGACTTATCATCAGCATCAGAAATCAGGAAGAAGCAACCAACCCCAACCCCCTCCTGCAAGACAGGCAAACAAGAGATGTTGCGAACGGGGTGGGGGTGAGGGTTTGCTACGCATTAAAGTTCAACAAATTGCGTTGTCTCCGAGTCCTGAGGTTACACTCGCACTCTCACTGCATATTCTCCATCTCGCTCTGTCACTCACACAGCTGTTGATCGCACCGCAAACGGTAAATGTTCTTGTCGTGCACCTGTCGTCCCGTTCCTATCCCCCCAGGTTGAATGCACCAAAGCAAAATGGGATAAACCAAAGTGTATTAGTGTAGGGTGAGGTATTTTCAGGGAGGCGCTCTTTAAGATAAATGATTCACTAAGGGAGTTGGAGTTGCAAAATTGGAAAGAGTGTGTGTGTGTGTGTGGGATGGAGTGAGTGCCAAAATATACACAAAGCTTTAGTCTGTTCCCCTTCCACGTTGTTAGATTTGCTTCCACATGCTCAATTTATGGTCCTTTTCCCCATATGGCTGTACAATGCACTCGCTCTCACACTCAACCTTGTAGTAAACTTATATATACATACATATGTACATATGCACAAATGTATATGTAAGCATTCACCCTCTGTAGCTGGAGCTCCGTTATATGTACATATGTACATGGTACATTTTGTAAGACGCACCTTGTTATCAATCAGCTCTGGTACGCATTGTTTGGCCACCTTTGTCTTTTGCACTGCGTCATTTCCAACGGGGCACTATGCAACGGTTTGGCTTTGCCTCCCCTGCTGATTGTTAAGGCTATTCACCACGCCATGTTATGCCACCCACCCCCCACACACAGAGAGAAGTGCAGTGCAAGGTGCCTTTGTATTGAGTGAGGAATTCTTCTACCTTTGAGTGGCCTATTTTTACCCCTCTTTTCACAGACGCAATGGAAGCAAGAAAAAATGACAACTGTCATGGGAGCACTCTCTGGCGTCGCACCTTGGCTCAATACACCTTGATTGACGTGACTTTTGCCCAACTTTTTCTGTTATCTCCGGCTGCAGGGCCATACGTGTGTATGCACATTTGTATGTATTTTCCCACCTCACCATCAACGCTGGCTGCGACGCTGACTGCGCAATTGTTGCTATTGCTAAAAACAGGAAATAATTTTCGTTTTCTATAGAAAACACTGCCAGCGCAGTCGCTGCCTACGTTGCCTTCGCTGGCGTCGCTGTTGCGTGTCTGATATTTTATTTTTAACGCTCTGCGACTTTAAATTTTCTGTTCCTCTTTTTTACGTCTCGCATACTTTTCGTAGCTCTTTCGTAGCCTTGTCGGAACCCCCGAACAGGGGCTTTGCACGGAGTTCGTTAGCTTTAGCGCTCTTATATGGCTGAAATTTCAATTTGTTATTATTATCAACAAAAAAAGTCGTCGGTCGCAAGGTTAGTACAGAACGTAAGACCAGAAATGGATAGTACTGGTCAGATCTGTCGACAGTTCATACTTACATAGATAATGCTGTAGGAACAGTCCAACATGATCACATTGGATCCTATGACCTCTAATTAAACATATTTTAGCCTCACATTGCCTTTGCATTTGTTTTGCGAGTGATCAGTGAGAGAGAGGAAGAGCTACAATCACAAAAAGAATGAGTCGAGACTTAGGATGCCCTACAAATTCCTTGATATGCTTCCAGTTGGGAAGCCATTTAGTAGAACTATACTCCATAGAATCAGGCCATATGTTATTTCCCAAAAGAATAGTTGGGATAAATTTGCACAGATAAACATACAAATGTTATTCAAAATAAATATACTCTTCGAAAGGGTATACATTAACAAATTGCAGGCAAACGAAAATGTTAACCTGCAAAAATTCACCACAGCCCACCACAGCAGAGAAACGGAGACAACAGACAAATTTCACAATTTGCCTCTGTTACTTCAATTGTAAGGAAAACCAAAGCAATTAACATGCAATTGGCTGTTAATGTTAATGCTGAATGGTTACAACATAAGTATTAGCGAACGCATAGAGGGTAACATTAGTAACATTTCTTTTTTGAACAAAGTGCGCAGTTTGCACTGATGACGCAGCAACAAACACAATGACAATGTCCACAGCATAGACGACAACAACAGTTGCTTCCAATTGCTCACTGCTCTCGCACGCTCTCTCCCTCTCTGTCGCTGTTAATTTCTTGCTTTCGCAGCTAGCGAACAATATGGCGTCTTTGAAATTGTGTCGTCGCCCAATTTAAAATATTTATAAAAATCACAAATGCCAGTAAGGCGTACATGTGTATTGTACATATTTGGGGAAAATGCACATCCAGCAAAATTGACTATGATTTTTCCATTTCATTTAATTGAGCCAGCAGCAAGAGTCATATGACAGTCGGTCGTATACACTTTGCCCTCCTCTTTCGCTCTCTTCGCTGCATGGGTCTTTTGTGTCTGCTGCTCTTATTGTACTTGCACTGTACAGTGTACACTCAATTTTGCTCTGCTGGCTGTGCACTTTGCACTCATTCTCTTGGTTATTCAACATTGTTCAAGTTTTTTGTTTTTTACTTTAATACGCATTTTCAGCTAGGCGCTCTCACTTAATTTATGGCTATTTTATCACTTATTTCCTACTCGGACATTTTCACCACACCCTCTGTTAAGTGTTCGCTCTCTGGGCACTGCTCTCCGATACGCGATTTCTTTTTAACTCTGCACCCTGCACACATCCGCTGCTGGCATATGTGTTCCCACCACCGTCTTGCCCACGGCCGAGCGGCCAACAGCAGTCGTTGTGGCTGGTCGCCGCGTCCGCTCTCTATCCACCGCTGTGCGCGTTTTGAGGGCCAGAAGCATGAAAGTAGAAACTGGGCAGCATTTCAATTCGAGCCCCCGTTTGGAGCGTTTCGAGCGTTTGGAGGATCAGATCCACGTTGCGTTTTGGCTTCAGCTACCAACAACTGTTAGGAAATTACACACGCGCTGTCTCTCTCGCTCGCTCACTCGTTCGCTGGCCTAGCTCTGTGTGTGTGTTAATAATTTAAAATAAAATTACGATTTTTCTGCGACCAAAGGTGCCGAGCCAACCGCAGGACAGGACGCAGCAGTTGTAATACCCTGCGCCTCAGCGTCTCGTCGTCGCCGTGTGCGTTGTGACCAAGAAAACGGAAAATTTTTAAATTGTTTTTCAAATACATATTGAGAAAAGATATATAACTACAACTGCAACTGCATCGTGCATAATCTTGTGATATATTATTTGCCCCTCCTTCTGCAACAACGATCCCTGTGCAATTCTCCGCAACAAAAAATTAATCATAATTAATAATAGTTCTGCAAAAGCAAGCAGATAGAAGCCACATAAAAAATTGAATAGAATATAACTGTGATTTAAACAAAGCTCTGAGTTTTTGTTTTTCAAATTTGTGCAAATACCACAAAAATCGAAATAAATAAAAAAGTAAGTGCTGCAGCAAAGAAAAAGAAAATTTATTATTTCATTTTGTCTCTGCTTATTCACCACCATTAACAGCTAAAAAATTTCAACATGAATGCTCTCTGCCCACCACGGCAGACCTTATACACACATGAACACACACACAACGGCAGGCATACGTCACTCTGTTGGGTGTTGGTGTGTGTGTGTGGGACAGGCAAGCGTTGCCATGTCGCGCGAAAAAAAGTGGAAACAAAAAATAAATAGCAGTTAGGCAGAAAAGCAAATAAAAGCAAAAGGAAAAACAGATGGGAGAGAGAGGAAAAGGAAAGGATTAGGGTTCGAAGAAAGATAGTCGAATGAGAAATACCCTGACAATCAAAGAATAATGAAATTATATTAGAAAAGAAATAATTGAGTGATAATTAAAGGGGGGAAAATGTTGTGTAAATTGTAAGAAATACCAGTCTCAGGCGAACCTTCATATTTGGTTGGCACCTTTGTTCCACCTCTTTTTGTTCAGTGTATTTTAGCAGATTTTCTGGCTGCGCTGCCAACAAAATATTACGACTTGCCAAAAAACTAAAAACCCAGCAGAGGACGTGGCTGATAAGTCGACCACAAATGACTGATAGCTCAAGTACACACGCACACAAAGAGGGAATAGGAATGAGAGATAGTGTATAATTTAAATAGCATTTTCCGCATTATCGCGCTGCTTGAAAATTACTTTATCTGCACTCGCACACGCTCTCTCTGTCTCTTTCTGTCACTCTGGGTTTGCGCTCTGCACTCTCTTTGCTGTTGCCTGCAGTGCGTGACTGGAACTTTTTGTGGATGACTCACCAGAACACATATCTGCTGTATAGTCATATTTGGTCGCAAGTACCACAATATGCCAGCAGAATATTTGCATTATCTGCAGATTCTAATCAGCTTCTGCCTGTGCATAGGGGTGCATTGTGGCAACCCTAGGTATCTTTGGATAAGGGCAGATAGTAATAGTTGACAACCCTGGTAGCCAATCAGCTGATATGTTTCCTTTTTGTTTTGTCATTCTCTCTCTATCTCTCTCTCTCTTGGTGAGTCATTGTTTTTGGCATTTTGCTGTTTGTTTTTCTATTTTTTTTGTTTGCATTATGATCGAACTGCAGCTCACCTTGTAACACTTGTAAGAGGTTTTACTGTGCTTTCTGTCTGTTGCTTTTACATCCCACACGTGTCGCCTACTCGCTCTCTTATCGGAAGCTACATATATATATATATGCTTTATCTCTAGTGGGGCACGTTTTTTGCTCTGAATAGAGTACATTTTTACACGTCCTGTATAAAAAATGATACATTTATTATAGGTGAATTTCTATATGAGACTTCACGTAAAATATACTCTTGAGCTAAATAGAGTCTTATTTCAAAACTTCTTGAACTTTCTATGGTTTATTTCGTCATTTTCTCGTTGAAATGTTGTTTTTGTGTACAGTAGACCGCGATAGGCCGTCACAAGAGACAGATAAGAGTAATAAAAGAGAATGAGAGAGAGAGAGAGAGAGAGAGACAATCGGAACGCTAACTGTTTTGGATTGTATAGACAAACAAACATGTTTTTAGCTCAGTTCCTGCGAGTGAATCAGAAAGCCAAACAGCTGAAATCGTAATATGATAATGGATAACCAAAGCACTTGTGTGTGTGTATGTGTGGGCTGTTTCAGTTGTTTCCAATTCCAAGGTAAAGCTGTTATATAGATTTTCCTAACCTATGCACTCCCATGATTTAGAGAGAAAACAGTTTCGAGAACCTTCTGGCCCTACTCGACTGTGACTAATTCTTTAGTAAATAATTCTATAGAAATAAACATATATTTTGTTTGAAATTCTTGGCAAAAAGTTGGATCAACAACACGTGTCGCCTTTCTTTCGCTGAATTCACTCTAATGCCGTCAAATATTTCGTATATTTGTATATGCAAATTTAAACAAGTTTTTCATACTAAAATGAATAATATAATAAAAACAAACAAATAGTCGCCAATCGTCTCACGTACACGTCGCTCTTTTCATATTTATTTCCTCTTTATTGTTGTTACGCATATTATTTCATTGTATCATAATTTGTTTCGTAACTTCTCGGCCAGACGACATACCCTTTCTGGGCGAAAGAGCAGGATATAATCGGTGGAGTACCCCTTTTAGACTAGGGAATATTCGTCGAATGTTTTTCTGTAAAAAATGTCTCAAAGGTGAATTTTACGAACAGGGATTTATTTGCCACAAGAGATTCGTGATTTCGGAATATTAGAAAACAAATAGAAATGATGGCAGAAACATACGAAAGGGCATACAATTTTCGTTGCTTACAAATTGATTTTTCATGCACTTTTTTTTATATAAACAACTAAAAACTGATAAGCGGACGCCGTCTGGCGTTCGACGCGTGTATGCCCGCGGCCCCATTTTTTTTCTTGTTGCTGTTGCGTCTGTTTTTTTATAGGTCGCGTGTAAACGAACGGTCACCCTCCCAGAAGCTCCCTTCCACCCTCCCCACAATCTTCCCATTTCTCTTCCCACCTCCCCCACACACGATCGGATTCGATTGGGCTTCGGGTTCGCTTGGTTCTGTCATTCGTGTCGTTCAGTTCAGTTGTTTGCTTCGTTGATTCTCTCTTTCGTGCAGTTTCGTTGTTGTTTTCAAAATGTTTTTGTGTAGAGATCTATTTATACCACTCTAATCCCCTATACTTGATCTTCTTTTTGCTTGTTTTTCTCTGTTATTTTTTTTAAGTTATGCAATTTAGTTGTTGTATGTAGTATTCCCTTCATTCATGAGACTGACTGTACCTCAAATTGAGAGAGAGAGAGATAAAGATCCCATTGAAGAAATCGTTTGTGTATGCACATATTCTCAATAGATCCCCCATGTAAATGGTCCTCTGCATAAATTGGAACATTGAATGGTTGGGATTCATCAATCAATTTCCGATGAATATTTCATCGCTAAAGGAGAACACATACCACCCTCATATCCATAGATCCATATGTACGAGTATTTTGTGTCTAAATTGGTACCAAAAAAATATACTATAGGAAACATTTTTCCGGCACATCTTTTTGCTTTGATTTCCTCGTAAACATAAAAAAAAACCTAACAAAATTTGGGTCAAATAATGCGAATGTGTTCTCTATAAATACTTTTAAATATTGCCAGAGGGAAACTTAATTGTGGGGAAATCCTTGGGGAAAACCTTGGATGTTTTATGGGGCGAGGATTTACGAGCAAGTGCACATACATTTAAAATGTTCAAACAAACATATAATGCAATTTTAATTTCCGGACAAATGAGCAAACCACAAAAAATAGCAATAAAAGCAAGCCACAAAGGGTGGAGGAGGAGAAGGAAAGGAATAGGGGAAGTAAAAACAGAATCGACTAGCGGGGGCGGCGTCTCACCTTGCGCCCGACCGAGAGCTACAAAATTTTCTTTCAAACATCGATTTTTTCACCCATCCTATAACCTTCCTTTTCCCACTGCCCCCAATCCCTGCTACCCTCACCTTCTATGCATTATTATACCTATCTCTTTTTTGTGTTTCTCTTTTCAATTTTCTCCAATTTGTTGTACAGGTTTTTCCTTATTCTCTTTTTGTTTTTTTGTGGGAATCGATTTAGGCGCTCGATTGACTCTCCGCCGCCTGCACTGTTTGCCACCCACAACCCACCCACGAAATTAAAGTTGTCCGCCCAAAAGGAAAAGTTGAGGCGCTTTTCTCTGGCAATTTAAATCCGTGCCGTGGCTCCGTTCGTTCGTTCGTTTGTTTGTTCGGTTCGTGTGTTGTTGTTTCTTTACTTTTTTTTATCCAACAGAAAAGCAGACGCCTCTGTGACGCGCATATTCACCACATCTGGCAACCATGGCAACCACCGTTAGCTGGCGGAGCCATACCATACCACCGTTAGCCAGACAAAATGAAAAGCGAAACTTTTGTGGGGCCCTGCCTTTGTGTGCTGCTGCTGCTCCTCCCGTCGTTGCTTCCTTCCTTGAGCGGAGAGTGGAAAGGAGCGAAGTGGAGCTGCTGCCTCGCCCTGTTTGCGACGGCTTCTTTGTCTTGGTCTTGCTCTTGGTCCCACAGTTCATTGCCTTTGGAGATAGAAGAGAGCAGCAGCAGCAGCTGCTCCAGCAGCAACAGCAGAAACAGCAGCAACAGAAATTCGTAAATGCATAAATCAATAAAAATCAAGTTTAATGTAAATGGTTCTGCTGATGCTGCTGCTGCTGCCACCGCCCCAAACATCATCATCATCATTGTCCAAACAGAGGAACAACGTCATCATCTCTGTGAGCTCAATGTCTCGTGACTCAGCTGCAGCCTTTGTACATAGTCCCAGGGTATTGTCGGGGTTTGCTCACTCTCCGGCACGGTTCAACCGCCGCCCAATAGCCAACGGCAAAGTTCAATAGCACAAAATGGCAGTTCAGAAAAGTTTCTAGCTTAAATCCATCCATCCATCCAACCACAGACTCAAGGCTTCCGCATCTGTCATTGCTTTGTTTTCATCGTCTTTATTCGCAATTTTCTGGCGAGCGAGCGAGCGAGGAGATGTCAGTCATTGAAATTACCAGATCCGAGACGCTTTCAAAGCTCAAACGTGTGTGCAAGGGGATAGACGAATTGTATATACCCTTTAAAGAGCTATTGTTACCAGGAAAGTTACATGAAGTTATTTGTTTCGAAATATAACTCGAAAATAAGGATCTTAGAGATATGAAGATCTACATACATAGTGTAATTTCATGTTTCCTGCAACTCTTTTGACTAAAACTTTATTACCCTACCATCTGAAAGGGTATACAAACTGTCTTTGAACGGCCTTCAGTTCCCATAAAACCGATCGTTGCGGAGTCTCTGCAGTTGGAAAGAGAAACAGACACACTGAAAGATACCCAACTTAGTAAGAGGGAGACACCACATTCAGCTACTTAGTGTGTGGCAGAGAGGAGAGCAACTGCAGACAGACAGAGCCGAAGCACTTTTTTCTTTGTTTCTCCGGACAGCAGTTTTATTTGCCTCTCGCGTTTTATTTGTTTTGCTCCTTTGTGCACTTACTTTTCGTGAATTCTATAAAACTGGTTTTCTTTTCTTTTTTCGGTTCGTGTTGGGGATGGTTCTTCAAGTGCTCCATGGAGAGATCCCCCTCTCTATCGCTGCTTCAGTGATTTGATTAGCCTATAAAGTAAGGGTATCGTGGTGGGTGGGGTGGGGTCCGAAGTAGAGTGAGCGCTGACTGTAGAAATCCATTTCGAATTTAGCTTTTATTTCTCATTCTCTTTCATTGTACATACATACATACATATGTCTCTCTATATGACTTCTTTCTCTTCTTTAAGTACACCCGCATGTTACCACTGTATAGTAATTTGTGGTATTTCTTTTGGTATTATTGCTGTAATATCAATTTGCCAATTAGTTTCGCTTCACACGTTGGCTCTCTGGCTCACTCTTCTCTCTTGCGCTCCAACTATCTGGCTGTGTTCCCTTTGCAATGGCAATGCTCCCGCTGCTTTTGCTACTGATTCTGCATCCCTTCCTCTTCGTTTTCTTCTGCTCTGCGTCTAGGCGGCGTTTGTTCGGCTCCCCTGCAGCGTTTGCCCATATGATCGTCATCTCATCGTCGCGGTGGTTGAAAATGTCAACTCTCCCATTCTCCTTCTCCTCTCCCGCTGGTCATGAATCTCCTCCAGAGCCAAGAGCCACTCATGTGGACGTGGACGCGCTCTCCTGAAGCGTTTCATATTTCATTTTCCCATGCGATTTTCATTAATCTTTACGATACGTGTGTGTGTTTGTGTGAGTGTGTGTGTAGTTGTAAACGGAGTCGTATTCGTCCGTTCTCCGACCCCTGTTACACAGAAAAAAAAGCAACCACAAAAACTAATTTATAACAATTTAGGGATTGCTCTTCTTGTCCCTCTACTGCACACACATGCACGGTCACAGAGAGGAGCATAGTATTGTAACTGCACACCTTGCCATTTGTTTTCCTTTTCTGTTATTCTTTGACCTGTAGAGCAGGATGGGATGGGATGGGAGAGTAGCAACGGAAGAGGAGAGCATGCAAGGTGTAATTGGTACAGGTGTGGTATAACCAAATAGTTCTCGCAAAAATCGCATATGTATTTGGTTTCATCTGCACACGTGAGAGCAAAGAGAAAAGTCAAAAAAAAGGAGACTAGAAGAACGTGAATGCCTCACCTTGTATCTATGCACCTTGAGAAGGAGCAGCCACAAAGCAGTGTTGTGTGGTGACTTTCGCTGGCAGCACCTCCCACTCCCCCACAACCCATCAACAGTCCCGACCGAACCAACGCCTGCTTCTTCTCGTATTTTTATGGCCATTGCTGTGTGTGCTGCATGCAGCACACTCTCCTTTCAACATAATTCATAAAAAATGGTTTGGTTGAAGTGAATTATTGGGGCTCGTAAATTCTTATAAATGCAATTTTTTTTTAAAGGAGCAGCAGACCAGGGAGCTGTTCAAGAACGTGTTCGTTGTTCGTTTTGCACTGTTTATATGAAAGTCTGCTTTATATAATTATACATATTTACAGGGTAATTAATTATGCGTCTGAGAGCAAATAATTTCAATCAATGTCGATGCTCAGACAGAGATGAAGAATCTGCGCTAATAAGCAATGCAGCCAGAATGAGAGGGGTATAGTACACAGTTACAGCCCGTATGATGGTATGGTTGTCTGACACTACACATAACGTGACACCCAATCTAATAGCGATTGAGAAAAGGAAATCTCCTTTAAAATTCGATCATCGTTCTTCGTTTCTCCCACACATATTTTTCTACCAAACAAATCAGCAAATGACGTCACGTACACGTTTTGCTTTGGAAAACATTTGACTTTGAAACGTGAATTCGAATGAAACACGTGGAAAACGCATTTGGGAAAACAGTTGTTAACACCTGTTTTGTATTTATTGATCATGTACGTTCGTTTTAAAGAGTATGTGCATATGTACGTATGTATTTGCTTTTGTATATTAAGATATTGACATCAATTCAAACTGATGTTCTCCTTTCAATATCGTCGGCGAGAACAGAACACAACTAATGACTTGTTCGTTTCTTTGTCTCCCGTACTCTCTTTTCCCTTGTTGACTTTTGTTTCGGGCTTGAACAAGGAGGGGAACGGCGGAACCCTACTCCAAACTCCATCTATACTTCGATAGGTAAATATGCAGTGTCTCGATATCGATTGGCTGTCCGTTCTTCTCTCTGCACTCAAAATGTGACAATCTGTTTATTGCTGGCCTTTTAGCCACGGTTTTACGTTTGAGAGTGTTTCCCGTGTGTGTTTGTGTGTATTTTTGTTTCTCTTCATCCTTCTTAATGGCCGCCATTGTTGTTGACTTTTGCTGGCGGGCCTTTGTCTCTTGGACAGAACACCAGAGTTGAGTTCAAGGTGAAATCGGTTCAAGTCTGCAGGAGGGATTGTCTCTGTCTGTCTGTCCTTTGCTGATTGTTGGTATCCTGCCACGCAGGCGCACAGCTCTGCGGTTCCCTGTTCCGTTCTACCTTCAGTGCGCCGAAAACAAAACAAAACAAATCAATATACCCTCTCCTCTCCTTTCATCCCCTGTGTGCAGAGTGCAGCACATTTCCATTCCATTCTATCCACTATCCATTGACTATACCACATTCAAGTGCACGCGTTCCTGTAGAGTTTTTTGACCTATCGCACATCATCGTGGTGCTCATGGTAACTCATTTTTGTGCTCTCTCTTTCTCCCTCTTATTGTGTGTAATTTTGAACAGGTGTTTCCATGTGAGTCTTCGTTTAATCCTAAGCCACCACACACCACTCCTCTCCTTAATGTCTGGAAGGCCAGACATCTTTTCATCCATCCATGAATTGTTCATGAAGCTGTATTTATTTCATATTATTTCATGTATTACTTTTCGGGGGGGGCGTTCTTTCAGTTTTAATAATTTTTCGCAACAAAATCGCCGGAAATATGAAGCTTAAAGGTAGAGTGTAGCATCAAAGCTGTCTGGGTCCACATCCTCTTTCTCGTCCGTCTTCCCCGAGCATTCGTGCGTTCATTTATTATGTGGAAAATAACACTCCTTGGTCCGAAGCCTCGCAGTTCCGAGAGTTTTGCTTCACAAAATGTAGTCGTCATATCACTTTTTTCCTTTCTCACTCGCTCCGTTTCATAGTTTGTAATTTATTTTGATTAATGATGGGCGGCACGCTCTCGTGCTTCGTCTCTGATTCTCCTCTCTGGTGGGTCCTCCTCCCCTTCTCCACCTCCTCTTGCTTGTTGGAGGCCAACCAATTGCCGTTATATTCCACATTTATTGTTTTTGTTGTTGTTTTCAACTCCTATTTTGGAAGAAATTCAATTGGTATTTCTTCTATTTTGGAACATTGATTGATTGTGCGTATTGCACGAGTATTTTCCATTTTTAGTCGTGGATAAGTCGGTGCAAACAATTTTAGTTGAACAGTGAAGACATTTAAAGGAAATGATATTGATTCATTGAAGCACTGCAGCTAGCTATATTTTTTAATTTGTAAGTATCGTAGTTGCTGCTTATTTGATGGACAAGTGGGATTTTTGTAATTAAGAATTTCGCAAATGTGGAAAATAAATAAATAAATACTTATAATGAAGTAAGTTCAAAAAAATCGATTTCGGAGCTTAATTGTGTGTTTACACTACAGAATATCCTCGGAAAACTTTACCAACCGGTTAGGCAGAAAAAAAAGGTGCAGCATGAGCACTAATAAGCAGTAGATTCCACCATTTTCCAGCATAGAAGCTACAATCTCCCTCCCACTAGTTAAGTTTACCCATAAAGCTCATATACATAGCTGTACTACTTTAGTTTACACTTAAGTAAATGTCATAAAGGCTATGGCTTCTCTTCTCCTTTTTCTTCAACTTCTGCAGTCTCGTTCTACCGTGACCGGAAGCTCTGTGCATTCTTGAGACGGCAACGAACATTTTAAAGCTCAGGCCACAGCTTAGCTCTCAGTTCTTTGCTTAGCTCTCAGCTTTCGTTGAGCTGCCTTTGGGCGGCCATCTTTCTGTGTGTGGTTGCCTCTCGCCCTCCTCTGCTCCTTTTGCGCACATTTTAATAAAGTTTAATAATTCAATGCGCCGCCTCGCCTCAGAGCCTGATGTTGTCTCTTTGTTGCATTTCATCAGCATATGTATATGTTTGTTGTTTTTTGTCGGTTGTTGCTCCGCTTGCCCCGCTGCTCGCTCATTAATATGCAAATGTGAGTCAGAACTGGCGTTCTATCTCTCTTCCCCTCTTACTTAGTCTTCTCTCTCTCCCTTACCTTTTATGTGGTTGTTGTGTGCCCATCATCATCATCATCTCTCTGTTTTCGGTCTTTCCTGTTGTAAATTTTAGTATTTTTGAATGCAGGTCAACAGCACATTAACCTGTATGGGTGTGTGTGTGAGTCCAGTTTATCAGAGTTTTAATATCAACGGGGGTTGGGGAGTGTGTAACGTAGTCGACCGGGTGATATCTTATAGAGAGATGATTCTACTAAAATCTATGACTTGATCATTTGCTCAGAGAAAGGAGTGGCACCTTGCATAAATACACCTTGTGTCAGAGTTTTCCTTTTCGTCCACGGTAGTCGACTTGCTTATACCCTATTAAGAGTTATTAATAAGTCGCACGTTGAATTTTGAGCATAAAAGGGTGTTCTTCTGCTCGTTCATTTCTTCTATCTGTTATCTGCCTTTGACTTGTGTTCAGCGTTGTTATTTTTTTTATTTTTCCTCCACGCGCCAATTTCCAAGTTGCTAATTGTTTCTCACTTGGCACTTTTTGGTTTTGCTTTAGTTGTTCCTCTTTGTGCGCCTGTTCCGTTCTGATTTCTGGTGTTCCTTATGCAACACACACAAATGCGCATTTGGCCTATCATTTGTATCTCCCACAAGCTTTGATATGTGACAGCAGCCGCTAATGACGTCACACCGAGTAAAGCAGTGACGACACTGCTTGGTAGGCAGCTGAACGAATCATATGATTTCCTAGTATCTTGAGATTATGAGCCTATTGCGCTTAAAAATAGCCAGCAAAAACGGAAGACGAAGTCTACACACAAAACAAAATAAACTAAAGGCAAACAAACATACATATGTAGATATATATACAGAGAAGTACATACAAACTTATACCACTTTTATTCGTGTTTATTTCATTGAACGGAAAAAAAAACAAAACTTTAGGCGCAGCAGCCGCGCGTGCTTGTTGACGTCTGTATGTATAATATACATGCATACGTGTGTGTACATACTACATACATATATATGTGTGCTCTCTCTGTGACGCTGGTGGTGGTGCCTGTTTCTATCTCTCTCTGCTGCCAATTGTTGTGTGGGGAATTTTTTGGTTTTGTTGTTGACATTTTGATGTCCACCTTCCCCCCTTTGGCACTCTTAGCCTGGTGTCACCTCTCTTGTTTCATCTCTCTCTCTCTCCCCCATTGACTTAACATGTCATTTCTGTCATACTGTTTGTGTGTGTGCGTATGACGGACAGCTGTTTTGTCTGCAATTAAATGGCAAACGGCAGGAAATCAACTATGTAAGCTCACAAACATACATGCATACAAGCGTATACTAGTAAATTTACATAGTGGCACATGGTTGGAGTAAAACTATAAATCATAATTAAATTTATATGCATACAAAGTGGAGAAAAAGCAAAACTGATTATTTATTGCTGCGTCCCAGCAGAGCAAGCAGCTCACAAGCAGAGCACATAGCCATATGCATGTGTGTAAGTAAATGCAATGCCAACAGGGAAGCGTCGCTGTCAACGTTAGCATCTGCAGCGACTGCGACGTTTGCCTCGCCTTCCATATGGTTCGTCCCCCCTCCCCTACTACAGCCATTCCATGTCGTAAAATCCACCATCGCCGTCACGGTGCTCTGCTCGCGTCGCTGTTGTGGTGGCTTGAGGAAACAAAAAAAAAAACTCCCCATGCTACGTTGTAAATGTAAAAGTCGTCTCTCTGCTGTGCCCGCACACAACCACAAGCACTCCAGCTACACCCTGCTTATGTGTGTACATAGAGGTTTCGGCCAGTTGTGCAATAGAGGGATTCCCATTCTGGATGGGATAAAATAAATTCTTGTAATTTATGCCCCAGACGTGTGTGAGAGGGGGCCTTTGCTCTGCCTAGCTTTTGAATGTTTGCGATTCACCATAACATTCACCACTAAGGTCAATTTTAGTATAACAGCAGAACTCGCACACACGCTTACACTCTGCTGTACAAGTGTGTGCGTGTGCCCATTTCAATTCTGGCTCCCAGCAGCGTCGCATTGAAAATAACAGTAAACATAATTGTGCTCATTCTTTGCTCTCTTCCACTCCCACTCTTTCACCCTTTGCCTATCTCTGTTTCGTCTGATGGCCGTTTTTTTGTGTTTCTGTGCGTTTACAATTTTGCTTTTACTCTTTGGGGTTTCTCTCGTAATCTGGGTTTTTTTCCCCCGTGATGGATTGCACGTCCGCCTCAACATCCTGGCTTTGCGCTGATCGCAATGGGTATCGATGCTTGCGATTGTTATCAACAATTGGTTAAAAAATTATACATATGTACATACATACTACAAATATTTGTTGTTTGTTACCGTTAGGAGGTGCAGCTGCTTTAAAATTCATTTAAACATCAAACAAAACTCGTTTAATTTACTACCTCTTACTACTGCCTCTTTTTTGTTCACTAACTATCTCTGTCTCGCTCTTCCTCTAGTGTGACCAGTTGCTGGGCAAACTGGTTTAAGCTTCGTCTTTTTTCGTCTCTCTTGTATCACAGGTTGTGTGTGTGTGTGTGGTATGACTGAGACAGCCTTGAAGAGAGCAAAGACTCAAATACGAGAAGATAAAAAAAAACAACATAGTTTGGCTTGTTTTGTTGTTGCAACATTTTGTTTTTGGTGTGAAGAGAGGTCTCTGTTCATTGAGTGTTTTGTAATGCAAGGCAAACTTGGTTGCACTTGGGTGCTGCTGCATCGGCACCTTCTCTGGCGAGATTTGTCGTTTATTTTGTTGAATTTTCATGTGTCGAGAACACCAATAAATATCGTTACTTATAGCAAATCATGTTTTGATTTAATTCCTCTCTCATATAGTCATAGTCAAACAGGTCACGATCGTATCTGCTTTTCTATAATTCTCATTCATATCCATATTTATTTTCGAAATGCATAGAACGTTTACATAAAACATTCTGGGTTTGCTGCCCTAATTATTGTAATTATCTTGGTAACTTAACCGCGAATACCCTATCCATTTCCATCTTGTCATACCGATACATCGGCCATCAATGGTTTCTCAACGATATCTATCGATATGCATGACTAAATGTTTTTCTTCCCTTTTGTTGTTTGTTATTGCAGTCTACGGTTGCAAACAAATCTGCCTGGAGATTGCAGCAGTTCCACAGTCACGAAGCGAAAACTACAAGAGGAAGCCGAAGCCTGTCTGGATAATTGGACGAACTGATTAACAAAACAGTTAAAGCAAACAGTAAAAGGTATAAACGGCGACGAATCAACACGCTTCCAAACGCACACGATTGAGAGAGTGCAGGAAGGAAAGGAGCAGTCGGCTGTCGCTCGACACATAGCAGCAAGCAAACGGAACTTCGCTGGGCGAAAGTGAAGATATAGATTGGCTGAAACAATAAAAAGCAGCAATTGCACAGACAAATAGAGGCGCTCTAGCTTCAGCCATGGAACGTGAATCGAATCCAATGCAACCCATGTGCCGCTCTGGTTGCGGCTTCTATGGTAACCCAGCCACAGATGGACTCTGTTCGGTGTGCTACAAGGTAAGTAAACACATCCATCAGATCAGAACTAAAACTAAAATATATATCGTTTATGCAGGACTCGCTTAGAAAAAAGCAACAGCCACCTGTGAGCAGTACACCTGTCTCGGTTCCAAGCCCACAGCCTAGCCCCACATTCAGTCCGGCCATTGCAATCACCAACACCGCACAGCCCACAGTTACCAGCTTACAACAGCCACACAATGATGTCAAAGAGGTGAGTGCCGCCGACACACTAGAACACCTACCCAAGAGGTCTTGCTTGGGATGACCCAAAAATATAGTTTTCCTTGTATCAAAAGTAGGCTTTGCCTTTAAATGCAAAGATTTATCCATTAGATGTAGATTTTCCTTTACTGTCGTCTCAGTCTATCACAAAATCTGTTGCAAAATCTATTGCTTTTCGGATATAAATTCAGTGTATATTTAGTCAAATTGTTGAAACAATTCGTTGTGTGTTTCACCCAATTGGGAATCAAGTGTAGACGAACAACTGTGTTCCTTCCGTATATAAGTTTTTTTTTTCGTTTGTTTCGTTAATTTTGTGTTAATTTTATGTGTTATATGATCTACACTGATATCTATGCTGTTGGAGCTATTCAGAAGGTAAGGTTATGATTTATAAGTCTTTGCGTTCCGTTGCCCTGCACCCAATGAAGCCCAAGGCTTAGTTTTCCCTACGAAGTGACATTAAATGGAAAAGACTTCCGTAAGAGGCTAAAGATATAAGGATAAATATGAAAACTTGGAGAACTAAGACAAAGCTGAGCATCTACGTATATGTATATAAGCTATTCCCCAAGATGAGGGTAAAGATTTGCTTAACAAATTTGTGAAGATCTATAGAATCCAACTCTTAAACACCTTACCAAAATCCACTCCTCCCTTTTGGTTCGGCTTAGTGTCACTTTGAGATCTGGGATCCCAGCAATCCCTGCATGACATTTTGCTCTGTTCGACTTTCGGTTATATTCCTTTTCGGCTTTGAATCAAAATTTCGATTTTCAATTAAAATTCCAAATTCAAAATTCCCAGCAATGGTCAGTGGTGGTTCACAGAGAGCAGCAAAGCCCAAGCCCAAGGCCAGTGGCAGTACTAACAGCCGCTCAAACGTGACCATGCGGTCGGGAGGTATCTCGGCGATCGATTCCACGGCTCTGAATGCGCGACGCATCAAGCGTAATCCCCGTTCGGCGGCTGGAGCCCTGGCGCTGGGAGGGAGGATTGCTGGGAACCTGGGAGCTGCAACGATGGGCTTCAACACGGGACGTGTCTCCGCCTTGGGTCCGGGGGGTGCGGGCACGGGAACGGGCGCCCAAACCACGAAGCTGCTATCGACGGTGTCTTCAAAGGGTACTGATATTTGCGCTTATTGGATTTATTGGCGCCGCCCGACGGCACTAACCTCCTTTCCCACCTACACCTCTCTTCTCCTTTTCGATGCGATGCTGCAGTCCACGAATACCAACGATCGCCGCTTCGCAGGGGAACAGTCTCTGCCGTGTCTGCCCCCCCCTCGTTTGTTGCCAAAGTTCCTTTTGCCACGCCGTGCTCTAGTGTCAGCGCACCAAACCTAGTACCCATCCATTCAGCCCTCAAGAAGAGCTCGCTGTCCCGCAAGGTGGGCGGTGGCAAGGTCGTCGACTCCAGTGCCAAGCGCAGGGTCAAATTCTCGGCCAATGTGCACACCTTCCCCTTGGCACCCACCAAGAAGTCGTCGCGCATCGGCGAACTGCAGCTGAAGAAGCGCGTAAAGAAGCTGAAGCGTAATCGAACGCGCAAGGAGGGCGGCAGTGGCTTCCTTAGCGAAGGTCGCGCTGGCTTTGGCCTGAGCAGCATCGGGATCGCAGGATATAGCGCCAGCCCGAACAACAACCACCACGGCAACATTGTAGATGTGCAGCCGGCGCCACGGATTGCCAGGAAAAGTGTTGCTGCTGCCTCAGGATCAAGAGCCTACCCCATTCGTGTGAAATCGAAGCTTGCAACTTCTCTAGCGACTGCGACATTAAATGCCAGGTATCCGTGCAGCAGCCTAACATTGAGCGCCACCAAGGAGAGGACCAATCTTGCCAAGGGCCAGGCCAAAAGCAAGTCTAGCAGCACGCAGCCATTGCGTACAGCCACCTCCTCCCGCCTGGGTTACACTCCAGTGGCGGGTGTCAATCGCAAGAAGACCACTCCGGTGACCATTACGAAGGGCGGTCGTCGTCGCCGTAACAGCCATGGATAAGTCCGATGGGGGAAAGCAACCGGAGCGCCACAACCAGAAACGCCGCCGGGACTTTGAACAAGACAAGGCAGATATCGTCGATAGCAATCCAAAGGGAAAGCCAACAGCAGCAGAGACCAAGCCACATGATCCCAAGGAATTCCCATTACTGGTTCCTGTTCCTGTCGATGCTGTGCCATCGAAGCGGGCGGTAAACATCCACCTCCATCACACAATAAACACAAACGACAGCGATCGAGGGATCTCTTTCTCTCTAAATCCGCCACTGTACCACACACATATTTACATACGAATAGAATTGGTTAGGAATTTTTGGCTGTTCGCCCAGTTGATGCAACTGTGGCAGTTGGGCGGGCCAGAGACACACAACAACATCTATCTCATCCGCCACTCAACACTCGACGGAGACCAACAGCGAGAAAAACTTGATAAAACAGTCGAATAGAATAATAAAAAAAAAACCGAAACGAGAAAAAATTGAGTCGTACCAAGTACTTCAAGGCTTTTGAATGCAGTTAGAGGAGGAAGAACAGATAGTACATAGAATTGATATAGGGTTTTTTGATCTAGATCTGGATAGTATTGTCTAGTTTTCGTTCAAATTTTCTGTGTGTGTCATGTGATTGAAATTCCTCTTTTTCTCTTTTCCTTGTGCCTGCAGAAAATCATCGTAGAAGCCGCCGCTGCTGCTGCTGCCAAAGTCAATACTGAAGCCATCACATCGGCGACCGGTCCAAATACTTCCACACAAGCAGCCGCCTCCGCCAATGAGGAGGATGACAAGGACAAGGAAGATGATAAGGATGCCAAAAAGAAGAAGAACCGATGTGGCGAATGCCGCAAAAAGGTTGGACTGACTGGTAAGTAGATTCTGGATATATAATTGTCATCAATTGAATTGCGTTTCTAATTCTTTTCTCCTCTTTTTTCATAGGTTTTCAGTGTCGCTGCGGCGGTTTATACTGCGCTGTGCATCGTTATTCTGATAAACATAACTGCACATTTGATTATAGAGAGCACGGTGCACAGGAGATTCGACGCAACAATCCAGTTGTCGTTGGCGAGAAAATTCAAAAGATTTGAATTTTGCGAGATATTGTGCCAGTAACAGTAAACAGTAACAGTAGCCGTAGAATGATAATAACCACAACCCCCTACACATAATGATATATATAGTATATAAAATGCTATGCTGTAACAAAATCTACAAAAACCAACAACCACACACACACACCATACACACATACAAGCAGAAGAATAGTACTAAAAAAAAAAAAATGTAATTATAATTGCAAAAGAAGCGAAAGCCGAAAGCAAAACAATAGTACAGAAAGAGAGAAACGATAACCAAATACCACGCATAAAGTACACCTGGAGCAACAGCAAATGGAAGAACAACAGCACTGGGCGATACGAAGAGCTTCAGGAGTCTACCAACAGCCAAACCAAGGAGCATCAGTGGAGCAGGGACTACGACTTGAACCAGACGCGTAACAGCGTTAGGCGTTACTGCAATCTCTCAACAGCAACAACAACACAAATTTAACAACAACCTCTGCACAAGATTGACGGCTGCTCCTGAAGCCAGAATGCGCTTAGAAGAGAGAGAGAGGACAAAACGTTGTTTTGGAACTCCTTTTGTTTTGTTCCATCAAAAAGAAAAATACCATTTTGCAAATTGTTTGTATTTAGCAACAGCAACAACAAAAACACTCAACACTTGCAACAAATTTGCAATGGCAACAATGCACACACACAAACAACAACAGCTACAACAACAATTGTTTCATGTTATTGAAGAACGCAACAACAGCAGCAACAACAGCCTTTAAAGACAATGTGGGTCGAATGTTTTTTGTAATTTGTTGGAGTGTATTAAAAAAAAATTTAAAATAATAAAAAAAGTATAAAAAATGAACAAAAACTAAGCAAAATTCAATTGCAACTCAAAATCTAGCCGGGAAAAAAACGAAGGAAACAAAATTCCACACACATAGAAAAACAATTCAACAACCAACACACAAAAACCAACTCTTTCTCAATTCTTAATTATCAGCTACTAAAAAACAGAAAAAAAAACAAATATTATATTAATTAAAATTATTGTATATGTATTATAAAAAGAGAAAACAAAGAAAAACAAAAATATGCAAAATTTAAGCGTAAAAAAACATAAAACCCTCAAACACAAAAAAAAAAAATGTAAAAAAAAAACAAAAACCTAAAGAAAAACAGAGTAGAGAGAGATGAACATTTTGCTAAAAATCCACGACCATGCTAAAAACATATTTAGAGGAAAGAGAGCGAAAATGTGCGAGAGAGAAGGAAGGATGAGAGAGAGAGAGAAGAGGAGCGCGTTAAAGTGTAAAGCAACTTGGAGCATAAAAAACTCCCTATACATACATATATATATATATATAGAGATATAAATAATAATTATAATTAATTAGTGAATCAAAGCAGGCAAATGCAGTGCAAGCGGCGTTTTTTCTTCGTTTTTACTACCAATGGCCAACACCATACCCCCGCACTTCCACTTCCACTCCCCCCAACAAAACTCTAACATAAAATTGAATTGATTTTGATTTTTTCGATGAATTATATATATATATATGATGATGATATGCATAAACGTAAACTATATCTACAACTAATTCTATATATATATATATAGGGTAGGATGTGTCTGTCGTCAATCGCATAGTTTTCTTTCACCATGCAACACGAACATAAACCCTCACACATATTCTACGAGTATATATATATATGTAGTAAGAATTACCAAGAAATCCGCTTAAAAACAAACATAAAAATGCAAAAAATACAAAAAATATATATGGTTCGTCTTTAGGTTTTTATTGCTTTAAGCGTTATTTAGTTTTTTCTTTGTTTATATTAAAACTTAAAACAAAACAACAAATACTTGCATACACAACAAAAAAACAAAAACAAAAGAAAACCCCCTTTTAATCTTTGCTTTCTTCTTCATTCTGTAGTACATAATTTACAAAACAAAAACAACTTTTATTCAAATCAATTATTACTATTATATGCAAAAAATAAATTTAAATCTAGCGATAAATTGTGTTGTTAACCCCCTACGAAAACAAAGCAAAATATTTTGAGTAAAAACTAAACTTACACCAATAACAAACAAAAAATGGAAATATGCAATAAATTTTGATTTTTCAATTGAAATTCTCCCCACGACCAACAGATCCTATAATATAGATTTTAATATACATTTCTTGGCACACAAAGAACTGAGAAAAAGAGAGCTCCAGCAAGAGCGCATACCATAACTATCCTGCGAACTGTAGAGATGTTATGTTTTGTGAGCTTTTATACATACATATACGATCACATAGATCAGTTCTAGCTAGAAGTGCTGCACTCAGTTTTGGAGTAGCTTTTCTATCTATTCATTGATCAAGGGGTCTCTCTCTCTCTGGAGGCGATTCTTAAGTTCGGTTCTAGGTAGGTTATCACTTATCCACTGAATAGCGTTTCAAGTCAAGAATAGTTTCAACAACAACTGTACAAAAATGAGCAACCTATAAAACACCAACTTCAATATAATTTTTAAAAATATATAGAGACACAGCAAACTGCAAAGAATTACAAATCGAAGAACAGCAAAATGTCATTTTAATTATAATTTTCGCAACAAAAGATTTAAGGCGACAATTTACTCGTACGTACATATATTCATAATTTAATTCATTAAACAAATTCTCTAAAATTAATTAGTAAAATTATATGCAAACACAGACACAAAGGAGAATTTTAAAAATACAAATGAAATTTACACAATTTTTAAATAGAATTTTAATATTTAAAAGTTTTGAAATTATCAAAAAAACCTATTTCGAACCGCTCTTTTGTTTGTGCCTAGTTTTTAGTCTATCAAATTATTTTAATTTACAATGCTTTAGTGTGCTTTTTAGTTGAATTTGTGTTTTTGAAAGTGAAAGGCAAATAATTATTATACGCGTAATAAATTTTAATAATTATTAACCAACGTTTACTCTAGTAATTCTTTATTATTATTATCATAATTATTATTATTAAATATGTTTTTTTTGTTTGTTGTGTGCACCTCTTAGTCACTTTTGCGCTTATAAGCTTAACAAACAGTAACAAACATGTAACACACCAGCCGTTTACACCCCCCCCAGGATCATCCCGATTTGTCCACTCTGGATTAACCGTTTACCTCCCCATTTGTGTTAAATCTTTTTGCAATTGCTAGCCGAATTTGATTGTTTGATTGATTCTTTTGAGTGTTTTGTTGAGAGTAGAGTCGAAACGAAATTAGTCGATGTAAGCGTATGAATGGGATATACAATGAACAATTTGAATATGAATTATGAATGGAAAACGAAACCAATATCCAATACTTTATGCGGATCATCTATATATATATATACACACAATATATATAAATATTGTACTAATGTGTAACGTAACTGTAATTAGAGGCGGTGAAACGGGGTAGTACCCGGAGTATTCGCAGCAGAGTGTGGGGTCTAAAACTGAACATATAATTAACACAGAGAAATGGTAAAGCTAGAAAATCTAAATAGAAAATAGATATATACATATACATATATACGAGCCTCAGCCTCAGATCTGGGCCTATATATAAGAGCAACAACTATTTTAATTAAACGTAAAACAAATGCATAACAAATACAATAAAAACATAGATGATACAAGCAACAAAAACCGCAACAGCAAACAGAAGCCACAAAAAAAAATCCATTAAAAAGATCACGAAATTAATTGCAAAATTTATATATATAGCTAACTGGATGATGTTCAATAAATGGCAATTAAATAATTTTGAAAAAAAAAACCAACAGAAAGTGAATGTTTTATTTGAATTTCTTCCGTTTGCCTAAAAACCAATTTTACAATTTGAAAACAAAAACAAACCAGACCCGAAGCCAGGCCCAGGTGCTAAGTAGGATATATAGAAAATATATGGAAAGCGGATGAGATGTGGAAAGATGGAGAGGGTCGCATAGAGGTTTATTTTTATGACAGAATAGGTGGGGGCCAGGCAGGAGGTTCGCTCTCTCGATGCAATAGTAATAACCTAAATAAAGTCACAGCAAGTGTTCAAAAGCAAAACTCAGCAACTACCTAAAAACAAAACTCAACAAAACGAAATATTATAATAAAAACAGTTTTGCGTGCTTACTTCTTCATAGAGTCGTTTATGTAAATCGAAAACAAAATAACAAACCCTAATAACAATAATAATTTAAATTACAACAAAAAGGAATCACTAAAAACTTAAGTTCTAATCAAGATTGGCTTAAAATAACACACCACACACACACACAAAAAAAGAAGAGATAGAGTAACAATTACAATATTTGACAGATTATTCGCGATGTGCTTAGATCTTAAGGAGAATCGATATGAAAATATATATACATATATATATACAAAAGATATAGCAGTTGAAATGGATGAAGGTAGCAGCAGCAATGTCATGAAATTAACAAATGAATATAACATAAGTATAAATGAGTATATATATATATAGACTATATATCTGATAAATGAGAAATTGCTAAAACTGATAAACCTAATAACTAAGTAAAATTAAAAGAAAATACAAAAAAAAAAACAAACAAAAAACACGGAAAGAAATGGAACTAATAAAGAGAATTATTCTGAGAAATATAAAGAACAAATGTATTTTGATTGAGCAGAAGTTTTTGGAAAGGTTTTTGAATGGAAGAAGAAATGGAAAAGTTATATCTGATGCTGCGATATGGATCTTTAGTAGTTTATATTTTCAGTTTATTTAATTTTCGTCTAAAGATAATAGAAAGTCTTGCTAGAGGTATTCGTTTTCTGGGAAATATTAGTTATATTGCACATAAGATACCACAAGAATATGCATCTTGGCATTCATTGAAGCCATTGAACTCTCTCTTAAGTACAGTACTCGGCTAGTATACACTCTTCATCTCCTGTACCGAGTTTATTTCATCGTGACTTTAATTGCACTTAAGGAGATAATAGACGCAATTGCAATCTCTGATTGTGGGGCACAATACACACACAGCTTAATGTTTGATCTACGAGAATAAAGCAGAACAACTGTGCGGATTTATTCACCACGAAGCACCATTGGGGTTCTCCAAGTTTTAGTTGCTCTTTGAAAGTCGGGGCGCTCGGACGCTAACAGGTTAAACGAACCATCTAAAAATATACATACGTTTCTGAAAGAGTGTGACCCAAATAGAAAGCTGCAATCATGTCAGCCGTACAGACCGGTAAGTTGGTGGAGAATATATCATGATAAGAGCTGGTCTTAGGCTTATCTGAATGTAAATTTCCACTGTTTATGCGTCTGCATAGTGCTGGGGAGCATTACACCCAATCTGCTGGGTCGCACCCTCACCCACGAGCATGTGGCTCTCGATTTCGAGCACTTTTACAGGCCACCGCCGGCGGACTTTGAAAGCGAACTGAAGGCAAAGATAAGCATGTCCACCCTGGGCTATGTACGTCTGTATCCGTATTCCAGCAAGGAGAATGTTCGGTTCTATGATGAGGAGGCTCTCGTGGCCGCCAAGAAGGATGTGCTGCTCTACAAGAAGCACGGCGGCGGCAGCATCGTAGAAAACAGCAGCTATGGATTGAAGCGTAATCTCGAGTTTATTGTGGAGCTGGCTAAGAGCACTGGTGTCCATTTCATAGCTGGCACGGGACACTACATCCACGCCGTGCAGGATGCTAGTCATGCGAGTCTTACGGTGGAACAGATGACTGATTTGTATACCAAGGATATTCTGACTGGTATCGAGATCAAGGGGAAAATGGTCAAGTGTGGCTTCATTGGGGAAGTGGCCAGCGTCTATCCCATTCATGGTAAGCCCCTAAAGATGACATTGAACCGTTTTCTAACAGGTAATTTCCTGTAGAGTTTGAAAAGAATTCCATCAAGGCAACGGGAGAGATTCAGGAGGTGCTGGGCTGCGGCGTCTCCTTCCACCCACATCGGGATGCACAGGCTCCTTTTGACATCATGCGACTGTATCTGGAGGCTGGCGGACGTGCACAAAAGTGTGTCATGTCGCATCTGGATCGTATGTGAAGTGACACTACTCCTGCTTATTTTTCAGAGATTTCCACTTGTTGTTTTAGGCACCCTTTTCAAGATTGACGAGTTGGTAGAACTCTCCGAGCTGGGCTGTTACCTACAGTACGATCTATTCGGCACTGAGTGCTCATACTACCAGCTAAACACCAATGTGGATATGATATCCGATGGCCAGCGCATTGACAATCTGATGAAGCTAATCGAGGAGGGTCTGGTGGACAGGCTGCTCATGTCCCACGACATTCACACAAAGCATCGATTGGTAAGCGAAAGAGAATCACCATTAGCTATAAATATAGCCCTATAATTCTCTTTTTTCAATAGACTTCTTATGGGGGTCATGGCTATCATCATATCCACACAAACATCCTGCCCCGCATGTTTGCCCGAGGCGTCACCTTGGAACAAGTGGAACAAATGACTGTCACCAATCCTGCAAATTGGCTCTCATTTGATCCCTAGAAAGGGAGCTACCATATATGATGTTCTTTGAACCACATCTCTTATCATCTCTACGAGTGGATTAGATAAGCTCTGTTGTTTTGGCAAACTTGGAAAATATACATATGTATAAATTCACAAAATGTTCATAAGTTTCGTCTTATCGACCCTGTGTTTATTATTTTTCTAATGGTCGTTTTTGGGGGCTCGTGCGCAGCTTCGACCTTAAAGTATCGCAATCCCCTACAGTCCAAAAGTTGAATAAACAACTGCTTGGTATTGGATGATTTTAGCAATTGGATTCTAAAGGTTTCCCCATTTTCCTTTGTCGATTGATCCAACCAATTTCTTATCGCTTTTGACCCGCATTCGATTTAAACGGCTTTAAACTTATTTTACCCTTCAGTATGGAATCTTTCTGCCTTTGGTGATGTTGCCAAAAATACTGAAAGTCGAGTTAATTTAAGCCTTATCGTTGTTTTTGTGGTAGCCAAACTCTTATCAACACGTCGTCAGGCCAGGCCAGGCCAGGCCTCATAAAGTGACCAGCCGCCCCAGGCAATCAAAACGCAAAGGTGCCGTTTTTACGACCAACAGCTCGTCAATAGAGACTTCTAATCGACCTGCCTATATATACGAGTACCGACTATTCCAGCATTCAGCAGTATTCATCAGGCAGTTGTCGGCAAGCAGTCGTAGGAGCTGGAATAACATTGAGGGAAAACATGTCGCAGGCGGTAAAAACGGAAACGACCAAGGAGCAAAATGTCACAGTTCCGAAAAGCAATGGGAATTCCAATGGAAATAGCAATGGCAAAGTGGAACAGCAGAAGCTGAGACCCAGACACGTATCTGGCGGTGTGGAGGAAATCTTAGATCCCTTTTGCGATCCCGAGCATCCTCAAAAGATATCCTTCCATGATGTTACATCGGCTGCTTTTCTTATTCGCGGTGGAGTGGAGCGCACACCGTGTCCGGTAAATATCTATCTCCATTGATTATAGATTCTGGGTTATAATCTGTGTGTGTGGTTTGCAGAAATCCACTTCTTCGGATCTATATGGCATGGAGCTTTATTTGAAAAAAGATTTCCTACAATATACAGGCAGGTGAGTGATCGGGGATTAAAAACATCGGGGAAACCCTAAGAAAACAATTGAAACTGAAATTTTAATTAGAAAGAGTTGAGAGGAGAATGGATTTGCACCTAAATATATTTGCAATCAATCTTGGAATATTATAGACATTTTCGGAACCTTAAAATATATGTTAGAGGCTGAAGTACAGTGTTTATGGTACCACAAACTATTATGCCATAAGAGTCCTTAAGTCTGTCCGGCAGTGTGTATAAAAAGTGTATCGCTCTCTATAATATTGGGCGTTTATTTTCTACGCAGACTTTCCAAGGCAATAAATTGTTGATACTTTTGATATCGTAAATCAATATAATTCTGATAAAAATTATAATTTTAGAAAATTTCGTATAAATGGTTATAATATATGAATTTTTCTTAAGATTGTTTTTCCACCTACCTTCCTATTGCATTTTGTTTGAAAAATGTAGGTACAAGGTTCATAATCACTCTGGCATTATTATTGCCTCCAATGATCTGTATAGTATATGCATATAGTATGTATACTGTGCCTAATAGCCTATACAATATGCATTTGAATATTGTCTGGCAGCGGTATTTTCCGGCTACTGATAAGAAGCGTATTACAATATTTGTTGTCATCTTCTGCGTCGCTCGAACAGCTACTATGATTAATCAAGCATATAGTACATTATTCATAGAGCGGCTACAACGTATTATTTTTTATCACTTGCCCAAAAAAAAGTAACAGGCACAGATCCGATAAGATAACGCTTAATAGGCTGATATGGGTAAATGGGGGAAATTAATTACTGTTGCTAATTGATTTCCTCTTTTACGGGTAACATGTGATTGAGTACCGAATTCATTTGACATCCGTTTCGACAGCTTCAAGGAGCGTGGAGCACGCTACGCCCTGCTGTCCCTCACAGACGAACAGAAGCGGACGGGAGTAATCAGTGCCTCGCTGGGGAATCATGCCCAGGCATTGTGCTACCATGGCTGGAAGCTTCAAATTCCCGTGACGGTGGTCATGCCGAAAGCAGCGCCGATAATGAAGATCCAGAAGTGCCGCAACTACAAGGCTCGCGTCATTGTGGACGGCAACGATATGGGTGAGGCCAAGTCCCTGGCCATGCGCATGTCCCAGGACGAGGGTCTGCTCTATGTGAATGGCTACGATCATCCACATATAATGGCCGGGCAGGGTACGATTGGACTGGAGATCCTCGAACAGGTGCCCGAACCGGATGCTGTGGTGGTGCCGGTGGGCGGTGGTGGCCTAATAGCCGGCATAGCCACAGCGGTGAAGGCACTGTCTCCCAAGACCAAGATAATTGTAAGTAGAAGCCATGTGTGATTGAAAGTAGACTCTGAATTCTGTGGCTTTTTCCAGGGCGTGGAGTCGGAGAAGTGCGCAAGTTTCACGAGAGCCATGGAGAACAAGGGACCCATTCATACACCCATCAAGAACACCCTGGCCGATGGTCTGGCTGTTCCAAAGGTCGGCTACAATGCCTATGCCACGGCCATGCCCCTTATCGATCGCATGGTGGTGGTCAAGGAGGAGTGGATTGCAGTTGCTATACTCCGACTAGTGGAGGAGGAAAAGTGTGTAGTTGAGGGAGCTGGTGGTGCAGGTTTGGCTGCCATTTTGGCCGGACATCTCGATGAACTGAAGGGCAAGAAGTGAGTAGTCATTGGGCTGGCTGAAAGTAGGATTAACCGACTGATATTCTCTCCTCCTTTAGGGTTGTGGTTCTGCTCTGTGGAGGCAACATAGACACCACTGTCTTTGGACGCTGTCTGGAGCGAGGACTGGCCGCTGTGGGTCGCTTGGTGAAGTTCAATGTGGAGATCAGCGATCGGCCGGGCGGCATCAATGACCTGTGCAACCTGCTGATGCGCATAGGGGTCTCGATCAAGGATATTATGCACGAGCGTGCCTGGCTAAGGGACATCTACACCGTGGAGGTGAAAGTAATCTGCGAAACGGTCGATTGGTCGCACAGTCTGCAGCTGAAGAACGAACTGAAGAAATTCTACTCCAAAGTAGAGTTCTCCGATGTGCCACTGGCAATACTCAATGCCCCAGAGTCGTAGGATCAAGCAAAATATGCAACAAGTACACGGTACACATATGATTTATTCACTTCAGCAGCGCAGCTAAACTTAAAGCTTTAACTTAGAGCGTAGATATACATATATAGTACATATATATAATCGTAAATATAATCGTAATCGAAGTAAAAATATGTAAATTAGGTGTAAATAAATATACATAGAATACAGAGTCTTGAAACGAATTGGCCAACGCAAGGCTTGAATAATTTACAAATATATTTTTTCCTTAAACTAAAAAAACACAAAAAACAACTAAGGATATAAATTCAATGAGCTTAGGCCTATGCGATGCAGTTATTTAAGCAGACACACAATTTCTTTTATGAATTTCTTTCTTTCTTTTTAAGTTCTTCTTGCGGTTTTTGGCACATTAAGGATTCATTATATCATACATATTCAGTCAGTCACGGATACACATGCACACAGACACACATCAAAATACAAATATATATCGAAAATTTACAGATTACATGGCTAGAAAAAATATAATATAAATATCGTTAATGTGGTAAAATGTATCAGTTGTATGTTGTATGGTTTATGGTATCTCATAAATACAGGCATCTCGTTATTAAGTCCTAGGACGTGACGTACTTTAAAAGCGCTGACTAAACTTACATTGAGTATGCTTAAAGTTATAGATACAGATGCGGCTACAGCTACAGCTACGGATACAGCGCGGATGCATTCAGTGGCTGTTGTCCAGGCGCAATATGAGGGCATCGACCACATTATAGATTTCATCGAAATGTGGCCGAGACTCAGCATCGGCTGCCCAGCACTTGAGCATCAGTCGATACATCTCCGGCGGCGTATTCTCCGGCGTTGGCATGCGATATCCTATGAAACATACATATAACCATTATGCGACTCTTTTTCGTTTGCATAATCTAAGTTGATTCCATACCTGTATCGATGCGCTCCCTGGCCCTTGAATTGCTCATGCCCGAATAGGGTGTATCGCCCTTTGAGAATATCTCCCACATCAATATGCCATACGACCAGACATCGCATAGGGACGTATATTTTCCAAAGTTCAGGGCCTCTGGTGCAGTCCATTTCACGGGTATTTGCTTCATGCCATCGGAAACTGTTCCATCAAAATACATTTTAGTTTATGTTTAGTATTTCTTTTGTATTATTAACCCTACCGATATATTCCTCTTCCTCGCGGGACATTCCAAAATCAGAGATCTTCACGCTGTGCTCTAGATCGACGAGACAATTTCGCGCCGCCAGATCCCGATGAATGCAGTTCTTGGACTCCAGATAACGCATGCCTAAATTAATAATATTGTATGGGATTAGTTGGGCGTTTGGACTTGGTTTATGTGGATCTTACCTGCTGCCGCATCTCGGCACATTCCCATTTGTTGGCGCGCAGAGAGGCCATTCGAGTTCTTACGCAAATAAGTGAGCAGGGAACCACCTGGAATTACAGATTTAATATTAGTTCCCATTCAGCAGATTGCTAGATATTTATTTTCTTTAGTTTCAATCTTAATTTTGAGTTAATTTAAATCTTTGAATCTTTTCCTATCACTTACCTAGCACCAGTTCCATGACAATCATTATTGGCTGCTTCTGCACACAAATGCCAATCAGTTTGACAATATTCGGATGATCGTATTGCTTCAGGATGCGACCCTCCTGCAGAAATTTGCGCTTCTGTTCATCGGGCAGGGTCATGCGGCAGGTCTTGACGGCCACATCCAGTTTGGTGGACTTCAATTTGGCCTTGTAGACATCACCAAAGTTGCCCTGAAAATAGACAAGAGTAAAATAAATATCCATATATCTTTCAGGATTAAAATAACTACGGAGACTTACCCTGCCAATCCTTTCGAGCAGGACCACATCATCGTTGCTCAGCTCCCAGCGTTCCCGGCAAACGGGACGTCGTAGAATGGCACCGGACTTGACAGTGACGGGCAACTCGATGTGGTACTGATGCATGATCAGCTCCTGGATGCTGGCAAAGGGTGGACCCTCGAAGCGGAAATTGCCCTCGCCGGTGGTCTGGACGATAAAGTGCTTGTGGCCATTCCAGCAGACACTCAGCACAATCTGGCTCTCCTCGTTGCGGATGGTCTCGCGCACCAGGAAGTCGCCATCGTTGTTGAGTAGGCGCACAACCTCCTCGCGCGGCAATACACCGTGGAACCACTCCTCCTCGTAGAGCGGCCGATTCGTAGATAGGGATATCTGCAAGAGCCAGACAATTAGCCAATATATTCTTCCCACTTAGCCAGAAGATTAGTGAATGGCATGCAGAACACAGAATACAAGAAGAAGTGAAACGATGAAAAATAAAATAAAATGAAAAGCTTAACACGCCATTTCCACAATTTCCACAAAAACGGCGGAACGGAAATGCGTGGGTGCAATTGGCTCTGACGAAATGCAGCAGCAGCCTTTTTATATACAATAGAGGGAGAGAGAGATACAAAGATACACACGCAAATTAAAAGAAAATACTGTAAGCAAGAGGCATATAAAAATAAATATTATTACTACATCGGATATGGATATTCGTATGGACAATGTGGATGGATGGATCTACGTTCAAGGTTGACACTTGTGTGACTCACAAATACTTTCGATTTGGGTCTCTTCTTACGTGCCGGCGGCACTGGGCGACCGGCAAAGACAATTGTCTCAAAGATCCCGCTACCATCGGGTCCACCATTACTGCTCCGACCGGAAGTGCTGCTGCTCATGACGGTATCGACTATGAGAGTACGTATATATCCCTATCAACTATCCAAGTACTTGCGCAATATGGAAAACACGCGTCGTTCTACAAATACTCGTATGATTTCCAACTTTTCACTGGCCAAACAGACGCCAAACATTTCAAGAGACCAGATGAGAGATTAATGACAGCGACTGCCTAGTGTCCAAACTGTTCGTCGGATCAGGGAGAACTAAAAGCTATAATCGTTTTATGCTCTCAGTTGAACTTGTATCTCGGAGAGAGTAGGTACACTCTCCCTGTGCCTGTGCCTGTGTCTCTCTGTGGCACGCACAAGTAAATTTAGATATTGGAAAGGGAGAAAGATATTTCGGGCAGATCGAAATATGAATACTCTTTGAGTCAATGAATTTGGGACATTAATAGAGGCTATTGGATCTCTTTGTATTAAAAATATTCTCAAAGTTTTTATCCTATTATTTTAAAGATTTACAGCTTATAATTTTTTAATTTATCTCGTCTGGGAAGGATAGTAGTTATGTATCCATGCAAAGGGATTCACATTCTTACTGAAAGTATCTCTAAGTACAGCCCTGCTGTCGATTGCTCTGTTTCCCAACCTTTTTCTGCTAGGAACATGCTATAACCAATCCGAATCACATAGTTTTCATACCCTAAACCAAGAGCTTCCCCCAAAGATCTACATATATTTACATACATATATAAATGCGAATTGGGAGCACCCTGTGCTCTATTTTTGGGACCCGCAATAAAAAGCTTTGCCCCCCCCATGCTTTCAATATTGAACGTAAACTTTGAAACATGCACAAAAAATCAATCAATCAAACATGCAAAAAGAGGCAATAGGCGATGCGATGCGTTTTCATTGTGAGGTGGCGCCATTCGGCATCCGGTTGCTTAGATACACTTGATACGGTGGTGGGAGGGGGTGCTGTTGTCGCTGTCGAATACGGGAACTCACACTGGCCGCCAAGCTGGGAACACAATAGCAGTGCTCCTTCATGCTGAGCACATCGTCGCTGATGCTATCCTCGTTATCATGGTCCCGGTCGTCGTCGTCATTCTCGTCCAGCTCCCCGGAGCTGTGGGACTCGAATTTGCGCTCCATCTGAATGGGCAGCTTCGTCTTTGGGGCCGGCGCTGGGCAGCTGCAGAATTGCTCCTCCGTGGCATCCTCCTGGTTCTCCGTATCGAACTCCTTGGCAAAGTCAAAGACACTCTTGCTGGGATGGATGCGCCTCCGTTTGGTGCACTGCTTGCAGGGCTTGGCTCGCTTCAACTGGAAGTTGAGCAACTTGGATCGGAATGTATTGCGGATGGCTTTCGATTTCTTCTGGATCTTTGGCACTTTGAATTTCAGTCTTGAGGTTTCCTTGGACGGCGTCGCTGACGATGTGGTTGTGGTGATCGTCGTGGTGATCGTGCTCGTGATGATCGTTGACTGTGAGGCACTGTGGTTGCTGCTACTACTGCTGGTGTTATTGTTGTTCTGGCTGCTGCTCTGATTCGTTTGCGATTCGCTGCTGCTGGAATGCTGGTCGATGGGCGCCTGAGGCTTCTCCTGGGTGTCCTGCTCCTCATTCACCGTCGCACTCCTGCCCATTCGCACCAAGGGACTCTTGGAGAACTCCTTGAGATTGCTAAAGATGTTGCTAATGGACTTTTGGGTGAAGGACAGCGAACGCTTCTTGGAATGGCCCATCATGTCCCCTTTGGCGGACAGCTGTGAGGAGCGGCACTCCGAGCTGGAGCTGGAACTGCGCTTCGTCTGGCTATCCACATCGTGTGGTGCCGCCTTCCGTGTCTGCACCTCATCCATGCTCTCGATGGCATTCACATCATCGTTGGGCGTGGTGGGCTGCAGAGACCTCTTCAAGCGATCGTCCAGCACTCGATTCAGCTCATCAATCCTGTCCAAATGGGCATCGATGGAGTTTTGTGGCACTGCCTGATTGATTTCTATCTTGATCTGTTCCTTCCGGGCGGGCAGCTCCTCCTCCTCCTCCTCGCTGGCCAGACTGTCGTCGGCATCTGCATGGGGTATCTTCAGTCCCAGCTCGAGATCCGCGTAGATGTGATTGTTGTTAGTGTTAGTAATAACGGCAACGGTAAGCTGGGTGAGCGGGGCGGGCGAGAAGACCGCCGGCAACGGCTCCAGCGGCTCCTCGTCCTCGCCCAAACACAACATGGAACACTGGGTGCGACGCAGTCGCGGCAGGGCCGGCGGCGTCGAACTGAGGGATATCTCCTCGCCCAAATAGTGGACGCTGGCCGCCAGGCGCAGTGGGTTAGTAATGGGCTCGTAACGTGCAGGACTACGCGCATCCCTAATTACCGACAACGATCCGAGGCTCTGGGAGCGTGGCTGCATCTTGGAGAATCGTCCCTGGCGCGTCCGCGTCATCGGTGTCGTCGGCTGGGGCGTGGACTTACGCTTGAAGTGGCGCCCGCGTCCGCGCAGGAGCGTGAGGACTCCGCCGCGTCGCATCAGCT